TATCGAGTAACACAGAGTGAGTTATTCTTTTCCTCGGAGAAAGTGCTAATACTGAGGTTTGTTCCACCTGACTGACAACTGTACATTGCATTTTTACGATTTGATATCTCTTTAGTGTTTCTAATGTCAAGAATGGGCATGCATGAAGGATAGATAATTGAAGGAAAATACAAAAGTCTATAAAAAAAATCTTAAAATAGTCTTTGAAAAGGCGAACTGCCCCTAAAAAAAATCCAATCTTAAATTATTCCTTACATCCAAACCTGTCAAAATATCACAATTTTATTTAGGGGCAGGCCTGCCCTGAAGGACTTCTAGGCCAAAATTCATGCAAAAATCAACGCTTTATTGGACAAAATGGTGTTTCGACCAGCTTTGGAGGTTTATTGTTAAGTTGTAAATAATAAATTTTAGGTATAAAATACAAATTTGAAAAATTTACACATATACATGTATACTGTGGAAAACAACAAATAAAGATTAATATTTAAATGTCACTTTTTCCGGGAAATTGTTCTCTCCTATAGGTGAATTCTTTTGTCATAATGAATACATCCTTTGACCGGACTTTCTGTCTAGTTTCTGGGCAACTTTCGTTGCCAATCAAGAAGGAGTGAGTGGAGTATAGATTCGATTTTAGTATTCTTCAGTCAAATTCTAATAAACGCTAATGATATCATTAAAAGTTTCGATCTATGATAAAAGTTTAAGGTTATTTTGTTTTGGTAATGTAAAACTGTGACCCTGAACTTTGTATTTTCTATAGGATTTTCTGAAAGAAAAATATCGAGAGGTGAATTAATTCCATGATTTTTTTCTGTGACCACAGTTTTTCCTTTCCATGTTGTTTCTGACAATATCCTAGACACGTTATTATTTTAGATATAATGAAAGACGACAAATCGTTTGAGTGGAATAGCTACATTTACAAAGATTACCAGATGCGCATCGACTGTAAGCGCATATGTTCGACCGATGTCAACTGTGAGGGATTCAGCGCCAGGCGCGGATCCGAGCCTGTGAAGTGCTACATTCATTACAGCAGACACTGGAGTTGGGATGACAACTATGACTTTTTTCTTTATCCATGGCAGTGTCGTTCATAGATTCTCAATAGATTTGTTATTTCAAACTTATATATAGTTTAGAGAAATGAGATCGAGTATCAAAAGAATTTGTGATTCATTTCTTTAGAATATGATGTAAAAAAAGCAGACTTTCAATAAAGAAAGGTGATTCTGATTCTGTCTTACATATTTCTTACTTTAAATCACCTATGAGGTAATTGATATAATTTTAAGATCAAATTCATTTCCATATATCTTTCTACCTGGTTACAGGTACATGTATGGATGATGCACAGAAGGATACTGATAAAAAAAAATGGCGATAACGAACAGTATTCAAGCCCAAAAAAGTCCGTCAGACAATACAAATCAGGAGCAAAGCAAACACAGTCCACTCAAAAATATTCAAACATATGGCAAGTCAAACGTTGCTATATTCAATCTTTTCCATTTGTATTGTAAAATTTTCCATTTGCATTGTATAATTTTTCTTTATATTCTATAATTTTTCATTTGTATTGTACAATTTTTATTTGCATTGTACAATTTTCCATTTTTATTCTATAATTGTCCAATTGTATTGTATAATTTTTCATTTGCATTATATATTTGCCATTTGCATTGTATAATTTTTCATTTGCACTGTATATTTTAATTTATATTGTTTAAAAAATCATTTGTATTGTATATTTTTTCATTTGTATTCTATATTTTCCATTTGTATTGTGTAATTTTTCGTTTGCATTGTATCCGAGGGATTGTTTATTTTATTACGAAGGATTTCATTGGTTTAATCTAATTATATATCGGATTTGGTAATACCCGAGATGTTTTGGGTAGTTTACACGTGTTATCAAGTCTGATCATTCAGTGCAAGGAGCATTTTTTAGCAGAAAAAAAGTAAGTTATATTAATGGCCTGTAGGGATATTAAAACAAAGAAAAAGCATTTAGTTTTACCAGGCATATGCTACTAAATACATTGTCGGGTACATGTAACCACGAGACGCATGCACTTGTTTCAGTAATAATTCTTTTAACCCATACTAGTATAATAATTGTACTAGTATGGGGTAATTTTTTTTATTGAAACAAGACTAGTGTCTGTGACACAGAATAGTCAATATTAAAACTCCCTCGATTGAACAAGCTTAGACAGAACAGACCCAGTTTGTTGTGAGAAGCTATGAGCATAACTTGGTAAAACTAAATGCTTTTTCTTTGTTTTAACGAAAAATATACAATGCAAATGAAAAATTATACAATGCAAATGGCAAATACATAATGTGAATGTGAATGAAAAATTATAGAATACAAATTGAAAATTAAACAATGCAAATAAAAATTATGCAATACATATAAAAAAATACAATGCAAATGGAAAATTATAGAATACAAATAAAAATTATACAATACAAATGGAAAATTTTAAAATACAAATGGAAAAGATCGAATATTGCAACGTTTGACTCGCCATACAAACATCAGATAATTATTTGGGATCAGGTGCCATGAAGAAGTCAGCATTCGATCCCTGCCGACCGGATCCTTACCTGCTTACTTCCTTTAACTATAGAACTAGTAAGCGATCATGTCACATTATGAAAAAAAGTCTTTCCCCAAGGTACTCAAAACCTTAAGATTACAAACTTGCATGAGGTGAGCATCATTATAAGACTTGTTTCGGTTAGTTGCTGCATCTGATATAAACAAATTCATTGTTAAATTTTAAGGTATGCGCTGAGGCTGAGTAGAATGCTTCATAATTAATTTTACTTGTGTGATAATATGAATAAAAATCGATATGAATAAAGTATTTTTGTCCTTAATTTGCAGTTGTATGTGTCAAAATTTATAAACAATATGAAAAAAGTTCGGAAATGAGAGAAACTGAGTACTGATGTCCAAAATCGCATTAAGGTGTTTCCACCCTCACAAATTTGATGGTTCAAAGTACAAAAACTGCATTTATTTTCATTTGATTTACTTTAAATTTTCCAATAATTGCAGAAAATGTATAGGTCACCATATTATCTAAGATGCGAAACATAAATAAACAGAAGTGTATGTCAACATAAAAAAAATCGCACATTTTTTGTAAACAATATTCTGAAAATATGTAAAAACTAGTTAAAATGCATAATTCTAATGCTGAATGTTCCTCAATACTTCCAAGAAGGATATGGAAATAACGAACAGTATTCAATTTCAACGTCCGTTAAACAAATATACAAAAAAGAGCAGAGCAAACACGGACCTCCGAAACATCAGAGGTGAAACAGGTGCCATGGAAGAGTGAGCATCCCCTGCCGACAGGTCACACCCGCCGTGTGCTCGTTGTCATGATCATGAAATAACGGAAAAAATCCGTCGTCAATTCAGTGTATAAATAATGGACTAACAATTGGTATGAAAAACGTCCGTCAGCATTTGACTCAATGATAAATTGTATTTGCTGACAAGGTCATTGTATCGACCACAGAATTTACGAAATGATGACTTTAAAGGAGACTGTTGATATTCTTGTTTCATCAACTTGCTTGTAATAATTTACCTCATTTAAGAAATTGTTCATACGTAGAGCATGCTCTTGCGTATCGAAACAACTGAGATATATATACTCCGTATGCAGGTGATGAAGGTATATTGCTGCATAAGTAAGGGAAGTTGACGATAGAAAAGTTAAAGTCATCACGTTTATCATATAGCTTGGTTGTTAGATTAGCATTAGTGTCTTTTTCAAGTAAAATATCCAAGTATGAAGCAGAAGTGTCGGACTCTGTGGTATCTTTTATCTCAAGCTCACCAGGATATATCGTGTCGACGTAGGAATGGAAATTATCATTATTAATTGACAATACGTCGTCGATATATCTAAATGTCGAGTTGAAGGCCACAGCAAGTGTTTTCTTCTTTTCACGCATAAGATTTTGCATAAATTCTGCTTCATATGAATATAAAAATAAGTCTGCTAATAACGGAGCGCAATTTGTACCCATGGGAATTCCAATAGATTGTTGGGATACCTGGTCTCCAAAAACCACATAGATATTGTCAATCAGTTACTCAAGCATCTTCTTGAGGTCAACTTCAGAGTACTTATGTGTGCAATCAGAATCTGTTTTAACAAAATAATTTTTCAAATGACCAATGACGAGGTAAGTAAATTTACGAGTTCCATTTTTTGAAGAAGCCCACTTTTTTGTTGTATAATTGGAACGGGGTGCCGAAATTCTGCGTTCAATATAGCAAAAAATTACTTTTGAATTGTGAATATCAGGGAAAATATTTTACATTAGAAGTACAATAAAGCAAATGCCTGAATGAATAGACCTTAGAAGGAGTTATTGCCCTTGTCAACATTTTTTAAAGACTGAATAATTGATTAAATAAAGAAAATATGCATTTTTTAATTTCTTTTAATTAACAATATTTATCATTACACCTATTGTAAAGCATTCTTTCAAAAGATATTGTTCTATTAGGTATGAATTGAAACTAATTAGAGTTTTTGCAAAATCCTATGACATCGTAGTAGGGTGGAATAACCTTAAAAAAATAATAAACATTAATGCATCAGTATTTGTCAGAGATATTAATTGGGAATTATGGCTAAAATATAGACAATATATACCTTGGCGCACCATGCTTGTGATTATAATGCATGGAACAAAAAAAATTAAGATGCGTTTTTGTGGTTCAAAATCATCGCATTGTTCAAAGAGTTGTGAACCTCAAAATCATAATTCACTCATTAGGCCTAAAACTTTTTAGCTCTTTTTCTCAAAAAAACAAACAAACAAAGATTAACCTTCATAAACACTCAAAACCGTCTAGATTGGGAATGACTAGTGGTTTTTTGACGTTGTACTTAATGATATTTACAACGCAGTCACAAGGCTACCATACTTATTTACAAGACAGGAAAGGTAACTCTAAATCTATAACGCGCAGGCTATGTTTATTCGACAAATCAAGTCAGCTAAGACTACAAGTATTTGTGTCAAATGTAGAAATCGGATTATTCGGTACCTTAAAGGGAGAAATATTTCAAAAACATGCACTTCAGGTATTTAACATATTTTATGTTTCTTTTAATCGATACCGTTTTTGGACTTCCAGTCACCTACGGAAAGCAATACGGGACAAAAAAATAATCAAATATTAACCTTTTGTTACAGAGAATGCACAAAAATGGCCTGGGCCACTAAGTGGATACAGAATACTGGACATGTCAAGGTAAGACCTATTCCATTATCATTAACTACATATACATGTATTTCAAACTCTAAAGAAATTGGAGAAATACTTTTAAGTAAAAATATTTGTATTATTGTTACATGTATTTGTAGAGTGCTTGCTGGCCCTTACTGTACAATGATTCTCGGTGATTTAGGAGCAGAAGTAATCAAAATTGAGCGACCAGGTACAACTTTGATCTAACCAAAGGAGTCTGAAGTTTTTATCTTTAAAAAAATCCAGAAAAAATATCCCAACCTCAACTATAAAAAACACGGTTTTTTTCTTAGTTGTAGGTCAAATATTTTTTCCCATTTTTTTTTACGATAAAAACTTCAGACTCCTGTGATCTAACTAAAAATCAACTCACAGAGTATGGTTCTTCATGTGTTATATTTATTACCAATATTACCATAATCCTCGTTTTTTGCTCTACAGGATCAGGGGATGATACTCGGTTGTGGGGTCCACCATTTAAAGGTTCGGAATCGGTGTACTTCCTCACAATCAATAGAAATAAAAAGGTAGCTCCTTTATGGTACATAAAATAATTTGATATTATGACAATGTTAGTATGAAGAATTTTTTCAAGATGTTTTTTTAAAATATTTTTTTCAATTTTTATTTTAGGCAATATATTAAATCCACAATTGCGTATACGATTTTTTTAAGTAATAAAATGTAACAGATGTCACAATGAGTATGTTTTGAATGTTAGAAAAGAAGCAAAAATCCTGTACTTTGTTTTACAATGTGATTAAAATCAATTCATTTGATCCGCTCCCGAATCGCTACCCAGAGAAGCGATTTACTTTGGAGGATCGTAATTATAGGATATAGAATGAGACTGGTGTATTTTACAGAGTGTTGCCGTTGATATAAAATCTGAGAGAGGTCAGGACATTATCAGAAAGGTTAGTTTTCAACCCTCTATTTCTATCTGAAGTATTAAAAAATAATACAAAAATAATAAGTATTGACTATATATTTATAGAACAGTTATTATTTCTTAGATGCAATTTGTCGGGAGGGGGTTTTGAAGAAAGGAAAGAGAATCTATTTAATGATGAATATTGACCATGTCAAAAATACCTTTTTTCATATCATTACAATAAACGTATGTTAAAAAAATAAATCAACTACTTTCTTTGGTCCGAGAATTCACGTTGCAATTTTTGCAGAAAAAATACACAACCTGAGTTAGGGGCCAGTAACACATTTCATTTTATTTCATGTAATCACAATAATATAACACATTATAATTGATTTTACGTAATCACCATATATACGAGGCTGTTCAATAAATATTGTCATTGGTGCTTTGAAAGAAACAAAAAAAAGCTTTCCGATGATTAAGTCTTCATGACTTCACTTATATTCTCTTTTAATTAAAACACTTGTTCGTAACACTTTTATTCAACTTCTGATCGTTTTTATAACAATTTTTTTTTAGTAGGGCCCTTCGTATACTGGAATATCGCATTTCCTATGATTTCCTGTACTTGTTTTTTTTTCTGAAAGGTTTTTTTTTCAAGTTTGGGAAATGAAACAAGTCAAAAGTTGAAAGATCTGGAGAATATTGTTGTTGTGACAAAACATTATCCTTCTTTTTACCCCCCAAATTCCTTTACTTTGAACGCTGTCATGAAGAAATTTCATGCAGTGGATTCCTGATTCTGGTTCCTTCCTCTCTTAAACCTTTGATTTTTTTGCAAACATTTTGCTCTCTAGACTCCTCCATAAATTGAACTGCCTCCCCGAATAAGAATTTGAATAACAAGTCTAGACCACTAATACATATATTTAAGAAAATTTACCATTTACCATTTAAAACTGTTTTTGTGCTCTTGCAATTCTTTGCTCTTCTCAGGCCTTTGCTGTTTTGTCCAGTGCATCTTATTGTAAATTTGTTTTGAGGGTTTAAAGTTTCATCATCTGTTTGAATTTCAGACAAACGTGGATAACTACATTTTTTGATTTTTTAAATAATTGTTTAGATATTCTTATACGCTGTCGTTTTCACTCATTTTTCAAAACATATATAGGGTAACCTTTGAGTATAAAGCATTTTTACTGTCAAATGTTTCTTTAAAACATTGTAAACTACCCCCAAAATGATGTTATCAAATTTGCTATGTATCTTAAAGTCAATCAAACATAATTAGTGATAATTTGTTGAATTGTTGCAAACAGTTCAAGTTCAAGTTCATTTATTCACTCAAAACCATTTAAAGTACATGGTACATGAGGACAATGAAAAATATTTACAGCATATATACATTCTGGTCAGAGGTATAAGTATATGATATTATACATAATAAGACAATGAAATTGGAGAAGAAAAAAAATGAAGAGAAAAAAAGGGGGGAAAAATGGAAAAAGGGGAGGAAAAAACACGTAATAATGAAATGTGAGGAAAACAATTATGGAGGACAGACTAAATCATATATTTCTAATATAAACATACAGAGTTTTTTAAGTGACATAGAATCTTGTTTTGTCATCAGTTGAGAAAATTTAAGAACATTTGGTCTAGTAAAGTAGTATTCATTAATATACTTTTTCCTGATGTTTGACAGTGCAGTACATTCAAGTATAAAATGAAATTCATCAGCAACATGTTTAGCATTACAAAGTGTACATAATCTTTCGCTTAATGGTATAGATGCCCATCTTCCCAACTCAACTGGTAGATGGTGATTGGTAGTACGGAGTTTGACAAGTATTTTTCTAAATTTTAATGGCAGAGTACTTAAATACTTTTCACACTCAAAATTTGTTTTAAATATTATATACAAAGTACCTTTAGAAGAACCTTATTAATGTCAGTGCTTGAAATGTCATTATTACTCAGTTCAATAAGGTTACGCTCAATTGACTTCACAGCTGAAGTATCAATGTTATTACGAAACTCGGCTTCCCTGTCGGGGCACTATGACTTTACACCTGGTTGGTTTTCACACGTGGAGCTATTTTTAGACATTGAACAGGTGGACAAAGAAAAAGACAATGGATTATGTACATCGGAAAAAAGATTACAGAACTCGTGTACTTTAAAATGTTGTAAAGGTGGTGTTACTTGTAAAAACAGTAGTACTGTGGATTATGTTATTGCAAGTGTACACATTTTACCTTTGTTTTTGTCGGTACCGAATCTACTATTTATAATATACAAATCGTTATTTTTACAGAAAGAGGGTGTTGCAGTTCTTTTGTTATTTTCCCTAAATGTGTAGCAGATTAAAAGAATAATTTTTATGTTGCAGAAACTCATACTAATTTTTTTCAAATACAACAATATTTAAAGCACAACGAGAAATAGTATTTGGAATCTGCGCATTGACTTCCAATTTGCCAACAAATGATGTGAAAATTAGTCTCACGGCAAGATATGTCAGATTTTCCGTTTTTTAAATAGGGAATCCCCATTGTTCTGAAAAAGTGCCTCCTTGAAACAGAATAATTTTGATATATACACAAAGAGGCAGGAATTTTCTTCAATACCGCCATTTCCGATTTTTGTTTCAAAGAATCACATTTTTGAAAAACGCAAAAATTGAATAAAAATTATTCTCCAAACGAAATGAAAAATGTGAACATTAAATAACACTCGAAATGTATCGTGTCCGAATGGTCTAGTGGATATGCTGGTGGACTTCCAAGGAAAACTTTTACCAGAGAATGGGTTCGAATCCTGAAATGGATCATTTTTGCATATTTTTTTTCTTATTTTTTCCCATATGTAATGGTAGTGCAATTATATATTTTGAAAGAGAGAGAGAATGCCAAGAAGTTAATTGAGTAATAACTATAAATGATAAATGCAGGATTGAATTGTTTTTCTTGCTGTGACTTAAAACTAATGCTTTATTTAGTTTTGTCTTGGAAAGTAAAGTTATTGTATTGTTTAAATAATTTATTTTTTACATACTTTAGTTATTGCAATTTTGAATAATTCTGGTCTCTTAGTTAGTAGCCAAGATTTGATTTGAAACAAATGAAATGTCTTGGATGTAGCAGCAGCAGTGTGATTATGGGACGCAGTTTTATTTCATGAAAAATATTTCCGCAGGATGTCTACAGTATATCTTTCAAAATGCTGCTTTAGCTATTGTGCTTTTTGTTGTTCCAACGTTTTTCGTGCAAAATGACGAAAGTGTTTTGCTGTATCAAGCAGGAAACACCCGCCGTAAACATTCTACGTAGCTGTAACTATATTTAGACATACCGAGGGTATTTAAGGTAAGGTTTGCGTCTCCTTCCAACTCATATTTTTTTTAATATGCACACATGCTATATATCAATTTATTCAGGGAGATTAGCTTCATCATTTAATATGATTTTCTAAGATATTGCCCGTCCCATTTTTTTAGTAAATGATGCCAAAGTTAACGTATTTCACATTTCACCTCGAATATTATTTTCATTGAAAAAATTGATTTATTTTATAAATTATCAAACTTTTATAATTAAAATGACCTGAATTAGTATAATTCATGCTTCTATTATTTAAACTTTTAATTTTCCGTTATCAAAAATGTGAACATTTGGGTAAAAAAGAAGATTTTTCAACTTTCCTTGATAAAGTGAAACCGTTGCCATGGCAACAAAAATATAAAAATCAACGTTTTACATATCTACCGATTCCATCAAAATCCATGAAGTTATTAATTTGATCATTTTCATTAATTTGAACTAAAAAAATATGTATGTCCCCAATATTATTTCCATGGAAACAGGGGCTATATTATGGGTTCGGAACATAAAAATCAGGCTTTTTCTACACTTTTAAAGACAAGTGAACATTGATATCACCTTGTCATGGTGAATGTTAAAGACTAAATGTTATTTTTGATATTGTTTTTAGGCATAAATTGGCCAAAAATATTCCAAAATAAAACTCTTCCTGTGCTACATGATGGTCTAAAAATTTATTCCATGGAAGAACTCTAGTATTTATGGCAATCTTTACATCTGAATATTCTGATGAAATTGTCCATGAATTATACTGCAACACCTTTAGAAGTAACATGTTTATGTATATAAACATACTTCAGAACATGTTGCAACTAAACCAATTAAAAGCCTATGAATTTGACCTCATGCTGATTTAGTTAGTCCAACATGTAGTAACTTCTAGACATCTTTGTAGCAAAATATCTTTATTCAGTTATGGCTGGTGACTGTCATTATACATGTATGCCATTTTTTGAGTGAAATGTTGTAAGCATTGCATCCACGAAGCTGCTGTTTTTATAATTAAATTATTTCTTTACTTCAAAGAGTAGAAATGTTATCTTTAAAGTAATGTTTGTTTGCCCTCTCTTGACTCAGGGTAAAATTATTGGGTCGGTAGGTGAGAAATTCTTCAACAACATTTTTTAAGGGGGATAAGAGGAATAAAAAGAAAAAAAATCCGGCCCTGCATTGAAAAAAGTTTTCAGTCTGGTCATTTTAGTCAGTCGGTCTGGAGAAGCCAACAACCAAACATTTTTTAAAGATGGCCTATTTCTACACTTCATGGACATTAGCTCAATCATTGGATTAGGTAGTCTGAGAATCTAAATTGAAATATCAGACAGAACAAAATAAAGATGAATTCTAAGTGACATCAATTCATACTTTAATTAGTTTACAGAGTACTTCTGATTTCAGCAAAAAGGCAAATTCTGCAAAATGACATAACACTGTCAAAAATATTTGTCAAGAACAGGGAAAAGAAACAATGCTACAGTGATAAATATATCTCCTTGATATCCATGAAATAATTTAAATATAACAAAATTTTCTCCTTTTTAAAATCAAAATACAGAAAAAAATTAAAAGATTATAAATGTAAACAATTTTAAAATAAACTACATGTACATGTATTTGTGAAAGATTTTAATTTTAGTAGATTACTAAACTGGTCTTATCATTCCTACTTAATTAACAACCTTACAATTTCCAAGTGTCATGTTTTAAACTGTTACAGTTGATATAATTATACATGTTCAATACAGATTTATGTACAAAACTCATCAGTTTTCAGAAATACTTATTTGAGCATATTAGGTCCTGGTAAGAACAAAATTTAATGAATAAAAATATTAATCTTAATTGTTCATGTATTAATTTCCTTGCAATTTTACTAACCCCTTTTAAGAAACTTGTTACATGTAAGTATAAACAAAAGCAACCTTAAATTAATACCTATGGTGTATACATTTATTTTACTGAAAACAAATTCAAAGATGGACAAACAGAGCATGCACTGTAATCATCACATACACATATTTTCTAAATATATGGAAAACAGCATGTATATACTAGATAGGATGTTGTTAAACATTAAATTTTCTTCTATAATCTATAGACATAAAAATATACATTGGGTATAACAAGTCAGAAGTTCTTCTCCAAATCTCCTTTGATTTTGCCATGTCTGGTTCAACATCTTAGCTTGATCCATCCAACTTTCTTTAATATTCTTGAGCTGATATGGGATGACCTCTAGTCCTCTACTTTGATTGATGGCACAAATCTTTTAAGGAAACACTGAAGTACTTTTGTTTTTGGTTCTTACCTATTCCAATTAATGACCCATGATCTGAAATTATTTGTGTTCATTTTTACAATAACATTTAAGGAATTGCATTTTTGGAATTGCATAAGGAATTGCACTGAGTTTCATTCACTCAATGAAATGAATAAATTTCCAATATAATAAATGAAAAATCAATTTGAAATTATTGTAAAATTTACAGATTGAATTAGTGAAATGCAAATGCTTGATCAAGAAAATTAATGTTCTTGTCATGCACAATCTGTATCTTTTTTTAATTCATTTGAAAATGAGATATTAATTAAAATCAAACCTCATTTAAAAAGGTAACTTGAACAATTAAATACCTGTTTCAATAATGTTAAAAATATTAGGCCTAAAAAGCAAGGATTTTATTTTTCATAAATTCTTGAATGAATGCATTTTTATTTTTTGGCAATGTTGGGATATTAGTCACATCCTGACATCCTTCATTCCTTGTACCGTTTATTCATCGTTTTTAAATCCGTAGTCAGTAGATCATTCATAACTTTCAGTAAAATGAATGGTTAAATAATTACCTGATGAAAATACTATCAACAATCAAACTGTCAACATCATCATTGGACATGGTCAAATGCACCGTGACTTTTCTTCCCTGTTCGGACTGCATATAGCATAATACTTTACAGGATACTCTCAGGTCTTTTCTTTTTTCTTTCCCATTCTCACTTAAAATTTTAGTGTAGTGGTGAAGCGAGAAACACACAACAGCACAATGCGTCAATGACTTTCTTCTGAGGTGGCAGAGGATAGTTTTTTTTGCAATCAAAACGTTTGACTGACGGTTTACTTAATATTGAGCTGCTTTTAAAATGTGCATTGAAAAATTTTAAATTCCCTCTACATGTAATAATAGTATGATGTAGTCCCTTGAGAAATTTGAAGCTTTTAGGAATAAAACATGTACAACTTACACAATGAGCCCTAAAGATGGCACAGGGATAATCTCAAAATTTCATGTGAATCAAGCCTATTTTCACTATTTCGCCGCAGCCGCATCTGCTTCCAGGCCCGTGCTGATGACCCAAGCTACCACACAAATTGCAGAATAACATTTGTACATACCAATGAACAGCAAGAGATATGGCCTCAACCACCTCGTTTTCAAGCTACAATTCATCCTGTGAACCCACCCCGCTTTTCTGGTGAAATACCAGTAGAGCGAGTTTTTAGCTTAGTTTCGTATTTCTAGTCCATATCCCCTATACAGTAGTAGTGACACTAAAGTGTCATATTTCAATAAAATATACAAGGCCACCAATTCCCTCCAAATGCACCCATAAAATACTCTAGCTATAAAATTACCTATAATATGCATTCAAACCTCAGGTTTCTCTATTTTTTCTATTTTTTGACCGGTACTTTATTCGAAACTATCCTCTGCCACCTTTAACTTTCAAAGTTTGTCTTGCAAGTAATAAACCTTGCTCAATTCAAAAAGAACATGCTATTCTGAGTAAAAATATACCAAATATGTCTTGATTCATTGAAAAATAAAAAAGTTATGGCCAAATAAGAGACCTCACCAGTTCTCGGTCAACCACCTTAACCCCATATTGTTTCTTACACATAAAACAAATGCAATTCTTACAACTCCAGATGATCAATATACCATCAAAAAGTGTTAAATGGTAATTTTAATCTATTTCAAATACATTTATATGTAAAGAGTCAAATATAAAGAGCACATCTTGGTGAAATGTACTCACATGTATCACATACTCCCCTATTTTTCATGTTCTATGAAATTCCATTTTATCCCTTTTTCACTTGGTTTTATATACCTATAACTTCTTTGCAAAGTTAAAACCCCTTTCAACTTTCAAGATATTTATCATGATATGCAAAAAACCCTCTTGCATCACATGCTAAAGAAAAAGTGTCCAGGAAATGGCAGTTCAACACCCTACCCCTGCAGCCATTTCTTCAGTGTAATGAAAATGCACTGTAAAAATCTGTTTGTCTTAGCTAAATTCTTTCTAAGTGTCTGATATTCACTTTTAACAGTTATGAGTAATCAAATACATACATTTCATTCTCCTGAAAATTAAAAAAGATTGTTCTGTCCATCCTGGGCAATTGTGGGCAGATTATATGGGCCTAGCAGAATTCAATAATTACATGAAAATGCACATTTTATTGCTATTACTTCAATAAATATGCAATATAAACTCTTTGTTTTGTTATCATTTAAAGAAAAATAGTCATTTTATAGCAAACCATTGAAAAATTTAGATTCTGTCACATTTAAATATAAATAAATTTAAAAATTGAAAGGGGGGGGGGCATATTTCATGAAAATATCAATATCAGAATAGGTTAAATTTGGAAAAATAAAGCAAAAAAAGTTTTTTTTTGTACTATATATGGTTAGGTTTAGTGACATTTAGGTATGCTGACTGATTTTTATTTTCAAAATAGTTATATTTAGTAAATTAGGTTGAAAAAATGGCAAATTTATGTAATTTCAGTGATATCGCACTAATTAATACACTTAAATTTTAATTAGATTTAATTAATTTAAGCAAGACATGATTTTAATTATGCGACAATACCCAGAGTATCAAATTCAAACAATTAATTTATTCTCTGGCAAAAAATGCTTAAATCTTATATGATTTATTATGCTGATGGTTCAAAGTCTTTAAAAATGTATGCTGGAAAAGAGTAACCCCCCTTGCTTTTTAGTGAATATACCCAACTGTACAGATTTTAAATAACAGGAATAAAGTATTTTTTTAAATTGGCATACATAAGTAAACCCTTTTGTATAAAAATCAGACTAAAATTCACATTTCTAAAAATTGATGCATTCTTGAAGGTGGCAGAGGATAGTTTTTTTTGCAATCAAAACGTTTGACTGACGGTTTACTTAATATTGAGCTGCTTTTAAAATGTGCATTGAAAAATTTTAAATTCCCTCTACATGTAATAATAGTATGATGTAGTCCCTTGAGAAATTTGAAGCTTTTAGGAATAAAACATGTACAACTTACACAATGAGCCCTAAAGATGGCACAGGGATAATCTCAAAATTTCATGTGAATCAAGCCTATTTTCACTATTTCGCCGCAGCCGCATCTGCTTCCAGGCCCGTGCTGATGACCCAAGCTACCACACAAATTGCAGAATAACATTTGTACATACCAATGAACAGCAAGAGATATGGCCTCAACCACCTCGTTTTCAAGCTACAATTCATCCTGTGAACCCACCCCGCTTTTCTGGTGAAATACCAGTAGAGCGAGTTTTTAGCTTAGTTTCGTATTTCTAGTCCATATCCCCTATACAGTAGTAGTGACACTAAAGTGTCATATTTCAATAAAATATACAAGGCCACCAATTCCCTCCAAATGCACCCATAAAATATTCTAGCTATAAAATTACCTATAATATGCATTCAAACCTCAGGTTTCTCTATTTTTTCTATTTTTTGACCGGTACTTTATTCGAAACTATCCTCTGCCACCTGATCGGAATGGCCGTGCAACTTGCCACGTTCCGTATCGAAAATAAACAAGTCCTTCTTTATTGGTTCATCCACATGCATCACGCTAATCTCAAAGGCTTCTAAGATTCCTTTGCTTTTATTTGTTATAAGACTTTCTCCTGAAAACGTCCTTTGTTTTTAGTCCTAACAATTAGTGACAACAAACATCAAGTATGACAGAGGAAATTCGTTACTGAGATGATTAGCATCGCTGGTTTAAATTCGCCTGTTTCAAACGCTTTGGTGATTCGCAAGAGTTATCTCCCTGTAAACGCAAACCTTACCTTAAACGTCCTTCTCGATATATATAGGGAATAATTGCGAGTTTCTGCAACACCCTCTTTATTAATTTATGTCCAAAATTATTGACAATTGTATCTTCAACAGATCTATCTAAAGGAATGTCATATTTTTCGAAAATAAAAGCCCTTGATAACATAGAGGCTTCAAATGCACCTTCTGAATGGTTAACATGTGTCAAAAAATTATCTGCAGTAAAATAATCCTTTAAATTCCCGACTCTAGCATTAAAATCTCCCATTAAACATACATATTTTTGGTCTTTTGAAACATTGATGAGTTCTTGTTCAATTTCTATATAACAATCTGTACAAGAATATTTACTAGATTCAGGCGGTATATACACAACTCCGCATATCAAATCTTCACACGTTTGAAAAAGTGACTTATTTAACTTAAACCATAGCACATATTTACAATCAGTATTTACAATCTTTACATACTTAATGATTTCATCACGTACTGCTAATATCAATCCACCCGATTTTACTTTTGAAAGCTTATTTCTGTTTTTCATAAATGTTGTATATCCTGGGATATCAATTTCGTCAGAATTATCGGTTTTTGTTTCAGTGAAAGCTATTATATCATAATGGGTAATAAATTCTCTAAATTCGTTATAATTTAGCCGGTTTTTAATTCCACAGACATTTAAAGATAAAAAATTCAAAGTGTTTTGTATTCGATCAGGTGTCAGTACAGAGTCATTACATTTGGTGGATGTCTGCTCTCCTCCGCCCCCCTAGTCGTCAGTGCGGTCTGGAGTAGATCCAGTGCGCGGTCTCTTCTGGGTTGGCCGCTCGCCCCTAGGTGTTTTTGGTTGTTGTAAGACGGTACCCATTTTTGATGCCCATTATATCATTTTTGTTCATTGAAATCCACCTGCTCATGTTTGTATTAAACAGACATTGGTTGCTGTAAATTTCAGATATTTCAATTAATAATTCTTTGGGATTCTTAACAAGTTTTACAGCAGCTTTAATGAAGCGTTTTATTTCACTCTATTTTATTGATTCTTTACCATTCATTTTTAATGCAGTGTCTCAAATAGCCCTTGATTTCCAGCTTCCCACAATGAAACTATTTGATGAAAAGTGGTCACATAAACTGTTATCAATTCATTAAAGATTCAAAAATGAGAGAAAGTCAAGCTTTATGTCATATGATATCTATGTTGAATGTCATCGAGCTAATGACATTATTTATTGAATAGCCCTCGTATTTATTTTATGTAATCACTATATATACAAGTTTGCTACTGGCCCCTGTGCATAAGCGGATGTAAATTACAACAAATGTATATATGTGTTATGTATCCACAGCTTTTATTGTAGATATACATTAATGTTTTAATATCTATCCATTATTTGTGTTTATAAGCTTGCCACTAAGTGTGATGTTTTGGTAGAGAATTACATACCTGGAAAACTGGAACAATATGGTCTAGGATATCAACAGCTTCAAAATGAGGCACCCCAGCTTATCTATTGCTCAATATCAGGTTATCCATTTTCTAATTTTAATTATCGAGCATGCTTAATAAAAAATTAAAGCTTTTAATGATAAATTAATTTTTTTATAAGAAAAAAAAGGTTGTTGAAGCACAACACAAAAACATTTTGTACATCTTGTTAATAAATAATTTTGTTAGATTTGTTATAAATATTAGGTTACGGGCAAACTGGACCATACGCTAAAAGAGCAGGATATGACGTCATAGTTTCTGGCGTAGCAGGATTGATGTATATCACTGGTCCCAAGGTTAATGCACTAATTTCATTTTCAAACACAAGTTTCTTGTATTACATTTACTATGATAATTATGAGGTTAATGCAGTCATAACTGCTGAAAGTTATCATAATAATGGTCTTCAGAAATTCTTTTTCACCTAAAGCACCGACTTCCAAATGTTTGCGCTTGCTTAGACTTGTTGTTTTCTTACTGAGTTGTTCCTATAGGGCGGAGAACCATGTAAGGTGGGCGTGGCTATGACAGATTTATCCACTGGACTGTACGCTCATGGTGCCATCATGGCTGCCATCTTACAGCGACAGAAAACGGGTCAAGGTCAACACATTGACTGCGATTTATTTTCTACTCAGGTTTGTGCTTTGAATTTAGTTTTTAAGAAACCAAAAAAAAAACTTTGATCGATAAAAAAGAAAATTACAAACAATAAAATTATATAGCGCATGAAACACGCGCGGACCCTGGAAATTCCAGATGTGGGATCAGGTGCCTAGGAGGAGCAGGCATCCCTTGCTGACCAGTCAAATCCGCCGGCAGCCTATGTATCGATTAAGTAGCCCGAATGATACGTTAATACGTTAGTCAAAATTATCATAAGATTAAAGGCCTTACAAAAAATTGCATGAAATAGGTCAGCTAAGAACGACCCAATGATAGGCATTGCTAACAAGGTCAATGTAACGATGAAAGAGTGTACGAAAATCAAATGCTGATTTTAAACGAGCTAGTTTTTTATAAATCCTTATGACATATGCGTCGCCCGCACACCGCACTGGTTAAAGCGTTTGTTCTATGATTCTTAGGAGTTGATCCTTAAGTCGCAGTTTCGAATCCAACTGTGGGACGCGGAGACCATGCAGTCCTTCGGATGAGACCGAAAACCAAATCCAAAGTCCAGCTGTTCGCAATAGGGGCTGGTACGAGAAAGAGTCCCTAAATGCTCTTTTGCCGCGCTAAGATTTACAATTTCTAGCAGCAAATGGTGACTTCATCAGTCTGAGTGAAAAAATTTCGAAAAAGATGTTAAACAAATCAACAAACAAGTTTAAAATCCTTGTAACACAAATTTATCAGTAACCTGTCTGGTTTAAAACAGTCATCGAACTCAGAGCGTGTTCCTCATGAGGCATAAGTTGGTGATAGCCTAATATTACTTTGTAAAAGAATATTGACGATGGAAAAAGAGAATCACCTGTCATACAATTTAGTTGGTAGTTGGCTATGATCGTGCACGGCCAGTTAGGCATCCTATAATTTTAAAAAAATGTGGCAAACTCCACTTCTTCGTCAGGTAAGGGTTTCTTATGCGCTCCTCTCCTTACAAGTAGCGGATCAGATACTCTTGCAATTGGCTAGCGAAGACACGAACTTTATGGTGTCTTTTAGATTGAGTTCACTCGTAATACGAATTGAAGTATCAATTGTTTATTGATTAAATGTCTGGAATATATTTGAATGTCGAGTTGAATTTTTTTTTTATAAAATATGTTGAAAAAAAATTAAACTTCAGAGCTATATGGAAAAAATATACAGTATAAAAACAAAACTTATTATGAAAACAACTGCGATTCGTATTTCAATTAAGAAAGTTATGTGTAGATAATCTAAAAATTTTAAAGTTCAGACCATGAAACATGAAGATCTATAACAATCAGTAATCAAGCTCAAAAGGCCACTGAAACAATGCAAATTTTGAGCGAATATGAAAGGACATGTAAAACAGAAGAGTTGGGATCGGGTACTGTGGAGAAGTAAGCATCCCCTGTCGATCGGTCACAACCCGCCGTGTGCTTCGTGTCAGTATTCAAAAAACGGGAAAACCCGTAGACAGTTCATTGCGTAGATAGTTTATATTAAGAAAAGACCTTCTATATTTACATTCGGATTGAATACATTTTTATTTCTAACAGATATTTTATCATTACAACCTAACTTTGTTTCGTTTTACTTTGGCATATATTTGGATAAAATAACAATTGTATGTTATTTTTTCCTTTTGTAGGTTGCTTCTCTGATCAATATAGGAGCGAATTATTTAAATGCTGGTCTGGAGGCAACAAGACATGGTACGGCTCACCCCAGCATCGTGCCCTACCAGGTAAATACACGTAGACAGTGATGTACATTTCTTTTTGTTCCCAATAATTGCATTTTAAAATTTTTATAATAATTTATTAGTTCTTAGAATTGATCTTATAATTTTTACTGGTCAAATAGTTTTTAACACTTCTGTTATGAAAACTATCAGAAAATCACGTATATATTTGAATTCCTTGAAGTGACAGTATTTATTGTTTAAATTTATAATTAAATAGCAAAACACTCTACTTTAATAGGCCTTTCAGACCCAGGATAGTTATATTTTGGTTGGAGCAGGAAATGATGGGCAATTTAAAATTCTCTGCAAGGTATATTTTGTGAATGCAATGAACATTGCTTTTTAACTGTTTGTAAATTTGCTTTTGGTTATTGATATAAACGATTTCGTGGTCATATAAGATACATTTTAATACTCCAAATATTTAGTCAGGTAAAAAATATTATGATACATGTATTGAGAGATCTAAAGTTTAAAATATTTTATTCAGAAGCATCACCATATATGTTAATATATATTAAAAGATTCTAGACTTGGAATATTTGCACAAAGATGAAAAATTTTCCACAAACAAAGCCAGAGTGATCAACAGGGAAGAACTGCTCGATATTCTTAAAAAGAAGTAAGTTACCAGGTCTACTGACTTAATAAAGATAATTATATACCCCAAGTACTAATTCTTATTGAAAAATATCTTGTTCTGTGACAGAGCAGAAAAAAGCAAACTGTTTAGTAACACCTTGTTCGTAACTTTCAAGGTCCAGACATGTTCAAAAAAAGTGTTCAACTTTTCATCTTAGTTTTCAAGTATTAATAACATGGAATTTCAATTACAGGTATAAACCGTTTTCCTATGACGTATTTTGCCTCGGAGTTATTCCCCTTAGCCGTCATCTTGTAGGGCAAAGTGTTAAATTTACTTCTTTGAGCAATCAATTTTAAACATGCATGAAAGAAATATATGAGTGAAAATACTTACAATCTTAAACTTGCAAATTAATAAAGGCTTTAACAGACGTATATTCATAAGAAAAATAGTGTTAGCTTTACCTCAGTAACCAGTATAACAAATTGAACTTGGTTGAATAATGAAGGGATCTGGGAATGTTGCCCTACAATATGGCGGCCATGGGGAATAACTCTTGCTTAAATCACCTCAATAGAAAAAAAACTTTTTGTTTGCAACACTGCTTTATAATTACAGACTGTCAAATTTATGCATATTTTTAAATAAGTGTATTTCGACATTAATAAAATCATAAATTAAGAACTGGTTGATTGAAACAATTTTCTTTAGATTTTACTCCAATACGACGCAGTACTGGCTTAATTTACTGGAGAATTCGGGAATTCCATACGGCCCAATTAACAATATGGCGGCTGTGTACAATGATCCCCAGGTATCAACTTAAAAATACAAAATGTCATTCTCATAAAACAGACAAGAATTTTTTTAGGCCAATTTATGGTCTACTCATGGTCTATATATTGAAAGGCAAATCATATGACATTTTATATGATTCATATTTATGTATAAATACTCATATTATGACATTTATAACATTTGATAACAAGATTCATAAAGTTTACATGTCTATTAGCATATCTTATGATATGATTTATATAGTAAATTTGTCTTACAGACACTGCATAACAATATGATTCAAAAGATTTTCCACCCCACAGCTGGAGACATACGCCTTCCAGGTAGGATTTGTCTTTTTTTTCTAGTCTTTTTGTTCAAATAAGAAAGGACTTTTACTGATCTACATGTATTATTTAATCTCTTGAAAAATAAACTTGGCAACTGGTAATTTTAAAAAATCAATTAAAATGACTTTCGAATTGGTTAATGACCTGTAAATATTCAACAAATCTTGCAGTTGTGTTGCTATGTTTAAAGATCAATCACTACTTTGTATCGCATTATTCCAATATTTTTCACGTGTATCTAGTACTTGAAATATGTAGGTAACAAACAAAATTCGAACTAAACATTGAATTGATACAAATCAGAAGTAGAGCGGACCTCTAAAAATATCAGAGGTGGGATCAGGTGCTATAGAGGAGTAAAAAAACCCACATTAAAGATAGGCCACGGTAATTTTACTCATCAACGTAATTCACTCAACCTGCTTTATAAAACATTTTGGCGAAAACCCGATTAAAATCGGCATCGCCGTTTCAAAGATAATCATTGTTGCATTTGCACCTGTAAAAACGATCGATATTCCTCGACAATGTCACTTCCGGTTTAAATGCAATCAAGTTCAATGATATCACAAGTAGAGCTTTTTTAAAAAGCTTCCCGTCTTTAGCAACAATCTTAAGCTGTAAACTGATCTGCACCTATCAGGCCGTATAATTCTTTTGAATTTCTTGATTTTTAGTTTCTACATTAGCTTTTTACTGGCATTAGCCCTACCACGGTTGTCGCTCTGTCGGGTCATCTCCGTAAACTTTGACTGGCCGAGAGTTTTCGGCAAACCTCGGCTGATTCCATTTCCTTCTTCAAACAAGAAAGGGGAAAACAATAATAACAAATTGTAAAGCCTGCAAGCAATAAAAATCAAATTTTATTTATAATGAAGTTAAAGAGATCTTTTTATTTTTTGCTATACAAAAAATCATGTTATTAGGAATTAATTACTGCTGATTTTGTTGTTCGTTTTGTCATTTTTTTTTTAAGATTGAAAATCTTGCAAAATTGTTAAGTCGTACGAAAATTAGATCATCAGAAAGTTATCTCCCTTGCCTTGAACAGCATTTCAACCAATGAAATAATTGATAATTTTCTCATCTTGCATTTTCTACCAATCACAAAAGAGAGAAAGTGCATTGTCCGAAGACTGTAAAAAACTTCAACTATACAACACCGTCTTCCAAGGAAGACGGTAACAAGTGTGTCTCACTTCCCTCGAGTGATAGGTGAATAACGACAGAAAGCGCTGTTTCAGATAACTCTTATAGTCCATTAGAGGAAGAATCGTTAGAACTTTCTTGTGGATCATCAGGTTGTGATGGGGATTCATTGCTGTGCAATAATACAGAAAATGTGGGAGTAGAACCCTTTCGTTTTGAGCCCTACGTTAGGAACTCCTAAGAATCGACCACAAACGATGCGGGACCCGAGGAAGCTAATCGTTTGCATACTATTGATTGGTATGCGAGTAAAACGATAGAAAATATTCATAAGAAGCATTTTAAATCATTATTTTGAAAAAATATATTAAATTAATCATAATTTGACACTTTAGCTTTTTATCCTCACCCTAAAACTTTTACACGACCTAAACAGCTGATAACATGAATAACGTTAGTCCCTACTGATTTTAATTTTTCGTTCTTTTTTTTTCATTTGTTGTGGGAACCCACTCTTTTTCTACACTTTATGAATATTTTTTCATTGTCATTGTTTTTTTTTAATGTTTTGCAATGATTTTTTGACAAATGACCCCCCCCCCCCCCATCTGATGCATGACTTTTTTAAATTAGTCTGACGATTAAATTTTAACTTACAGTAATTTTATTGAATTATATTACAGCATTTGTAAACATTTTGTTGGTACAGTTGTGAAAAGTGTTCCATCATGCCCACCACCCGGAAATGTGTGTGCAGCAGTGCTGCCATAAGATGGAAAATATAAAGCCATTTTTTTAGGAAGACAAAGGCATAACCTGTATAACTGACCCTCCTTAATTTGCACCAGTTTGTTTAAACATATGTGTCCTCCAAATAGCCTATTATTGATATATAGAGCAGGATGGGAAAATATTGAAGATTCTTCAGAGTAAGCTTAAATAACCTGATACTTGTATAGAATAAACCTTTATTATCTTGGATTCTTGCAAACATGTCAATTTGACAATCAAAGAAAAAAAAAATTCATGAATGTTTAATTATAGATTCAAAACTCGATCAACTTAGATTGTATTTTCTACTCACCACACATCTAAATAGTAAAATTCTTTAACAATTTCAATATTATCATATTTACATGTACAAAAATAAAACCGTGTGGTACTCTATAGGACTATTTTAAAGTATTGGCTTTATGAGCACATATATATAGTCAACTCGCTTTAACATATCCCCCAGGTATCTGGCATTCAAGACATCGGTATTTCTTGGATAGTAGTCTCTTTATTGGGTCTTTCATAAGCACTGCAAAATGGAGGAGGAACATTGTTCAGCATGATATACCACTGGAGTTCATGCTCTGATCCTCTGCTGAAGTTATGACCACTTTTATTAGTTTGTCAATTTAACCTGCAAATAAATAATTTTGTACAATACAGTCAAACCTCATTCTTTACTTGTCTTAATGATAAATTAAAGCAAAAGAATGCTCTCTAGCCACTGAGATATTGATACCCAGGGTCATGAAACAAGATCAATTAACAGATTTTATGTGCTATGTGAAGAAGTAGAACTACATGGGCTAATCATGATATGTATGCAATACTACAAGATGCATTGAAATTAAAATCACTAGATATGTATAACTTTTTAAATAAGGGCCTAAATGAAAAAATTAATACTGATTAGACTACTAGTATTTAATGCATGCATCCTTGTTACCTTCGTCTGATTTTTTATTTTAGTTTGACATTTCTTTGATCTCTTTGACACATGCTTGCTCTCACTTTATATCTGAAGTCCAATACCGGATCTTCTTCTTGCAGTCTAAAAATTATAATATTAAAGTAAGGCAAGTGATGAATTATAATTTGAAAAATAAGATGCATACAAAAATTTTAACATACAATATAAGAAAATTAAAGGACAATATATACATGGTAAATATACCTGATCAAATTCCTGATCATCTAGTTCAATAATGTCTGTCTGTGAGCCAGATTCATTTGTTGTACACTGCACTTGTTCATGTTGTGACTGCTGAGATTTCACAGCCTGTAAAAGGGTAAAAAAAATATGTAGAGCTTAATATTGCCTTAATCAGCTTTGACGAATTTGATAATCCGGAGCACTGTAAGTTGATACAAATCAACATTTGGTGCATTTATTACACGTTCAACAATCACATGCATAAAATCATAGTTATATATAAACTTCATGGGGGGTGGGGTGGGGTGTTACAGTGATAAAACGTATGCATATGACTGTATGAGGCAGAGCAAAGGTTGAAATAATAGCATTGCAAATAATTATATTTACATAAAAGAATAAGCATTTACATTTTCAAACTTACCCTAAAACATAGCAGATCGCATTTTCTTTTGTTGCGAAGGACGCTATGATGTTGCTGTCTGAGGAAGATCTCTTTCCTAAAATGATTCAGTGTTTCAGCGAAATGAATAGTGGGCACAGCATCGTGGGAAAAAAGTGACTTTCTTTACATCCATACGATAGACTTTTTTTATCATGTGTTCCATAGGGTAGCAGTGGTGAGTGAAATGTTTATCACAGAGAGCAGAATGAGGGGTCGGACTGATGAAATCTTGGGAAGTTTCTAGTATGCCGGTCCCCAGAATCACGCGATTGCGCATGAGCAGTTATTTCCCTTGCCGTTGCTATGCAGAATGTGAACAAACCCCAATTTCCCACTCTCTTCAACAAAACGTGTCCGATCGAGTGATTAGGGTTAGGTGATATAGTTTTTAAAAATTGGGGTTGTTTTATAAATCCACTCTGTAATCTTCCTGACGTTGGGCTAATTTATGTAATTTTTGCTTACAAAAGGCACTACTTTAAGTGACTTTTGTGACCAAAAACTTGCATGAATCAGCCTGATGTCGAATCATGCCGATATATTATCTTACACTTTGGTTTAGTTCCTGAAATTTTTGCTTTACAGAGAACAGGAAAGTTTAAAAGAAAACTCTGATGTTGAAACATGACCGATTTTGAGCGCTAAGTTTAGGCAAGTTATTGTAAAAGCGACTTACCGTAAACTGCAGCTTAATATTCTGACCTCCTAATGATATTATTCCTTTCAGATCGATGATGATGCACAATTCGATTCATCAATCACTAGTAATTAGCTATTATTTGTTAAATCCATGTATTTCTCACAAAAATCTCGCACTTTGAATGGCATACTTTGAATTCTATCAGGTATATCTTCATTACGTCAAAACACAAGTGACGCATCTCGTGAATATTTATGAGATTACGTCAAACCAGTTTTTTTAACCCAATTTTTCACAAGGAACACGAATTTGGGGTCAATTTTGCAATTTGTGGCTTATTTTTCGATTTTGTCGATCGCTCACGCGATCGTATATATATTGTACACCGCCTTCGGCGGCACCTATTTTAGCGCCATATTTACAGGGACCGGTATACTAGAAGTGTTCCGAAATCTTTCTGTATAGTTTTAACAAAACTAATCCACTGTCTACGGATATCTGGTCTATTCTCCTTCGGAAAATCGTGAAAGAACACATTATCTATATGTCCTGATGTGCAAGCCGCGCTGCAACGAACAATTTTCATCTTCTCTTCTTCGACATGATTATTCCGTGTAATTCGGCAAGTCACACTTGTGACGTCACACACGTCACTTCCGGTATACAGCTAATTTCAGTGCGAGCTCTCAGGTGTATAATATGTTTTACGGTGTGACCGTTGGGGCGAGCGCAGTTATGTCCTATCATAAACCTACACGTGTACTGCCTATCATTCAAGAAAAAGAAAGCAAAAAAGAAGAAAACAAAACAATAACAAGAGGCCCAAGGGCCACAGCGCTCACCTGAGCATATTCAGCTAGGAGAAAGCACATATCAGATCAGAACTTAAAGTTTACTGAGGTTGGGGGGGGGGACTTGAAATTTAACACCCCAGAGGATCATGATTTGAACAAACTAGAATCTACACTACCTGAGGATGATTCCATATAAAATTACTAATAATGGCTTTGAAGTACTTGAAGAGAAGATTTTAAAAGGTTTCCCTATATATTCCTGTGAAAACTTTGGTCGGTCATACTGGCCCCAACCTACCCCTAATCTACACTACCTGAGGATGATTTCACATGAGTTTCATCTTTCCTGTCTCAGTGGTTCTTGAGAAGAGGATTTTTTATAGATTTTTCCTATATACTCCTATGTAAAACTTTGGTCGGCCATTGTGGCCCCAACCTACCCCGGGGGTCATGATTTGAACAAGTTTGAATATACACTATCTGAGGATGCTTCCACATGAGTTTCATCTATCCTGGCCCAGTGGTTCTTGAGAAAAAGATTTTTAAAGATTTTCCCTATATACTCCTATGTAAAACTTTGGTCGGCCATTGTGGCCCCACCCTACCCCCGGGCGTCATGATTTGAACAGATTTGAATATACACTATCTGAGGATGCTTCCAAATGAGTTTCATCTTTCCTGGCCCAGTGGTTCTTGAGAAGAAGATTTTTTAAAAATGACATTAATTTTTCACTAATTCATTATTATCTCCCCTTGGAAGAATTGAAAGAACACATCCCCTTTACCTAAGGATACTTTGTGGCAAGTTTGGTTGAAATTGGCCCAGTGGTTCTTGAGAAGAAGATGAAAATGAAAAGTTTACGACGACGACGACACCAACGACGACAGACGACGGACAAATTTTGATCAGAAAAGCTCACTTGAGCCTTCAGCTCAGGTGAGCTAAAAAGAAATCAATTCCCAAGCATTGGGATCGAAATTCCGAACTTCTCGGAAGTTTCCGACAAAATCGGAAATACCCGAACCGTTAAAGTGACGAAAGTATGACGTCAGATAAAAAGTCCTGTTGACTTAGGACGCAAACGATAGTTTTGTGGCATGGAGATTGCATTAAATCATTGTTTGTAATTTTTTTCAAGTAAGTTGTTGCTATGTTTTAGCCACCATGTTGCTATGCACCGCAAAGGATTATTGGGAATTTAGAATTTTTTCACGTGGACTCATAAAAATTTCTTGGAACAATGTGCAGATTTCAACCTGAATTTCCTCTGTTCGTACACGTTAGTCTATTGAGCTCGCTACGCGAGCGGCGCTTCGCGCCGCCTCGCTGCGCTCGCTACTAAGCTATTTTTAGAAATATCTCTAAACAGCGAGAGAGATAGTAGATGTGCTGTATATCATTTTACTCGTAATTCTAATGACTATCGAACTATGTTAAAATGTAAAACCTACCAAGCCTTTCTTTAACCAATCACACTCGCTGTGTGCTCCTTATCTTGATCCAGCAAACAAAAAAGAAATCCAACTGCTAGGAAATTCATTAATATATAAATAATGGCCTAACAATTGGTACATATATTTAAAAAAAACACTAGTAAGCAGTAATGGTGGGTTGTATTTGCTTACAATGTCATAGTATCGGCCATACAACTTGGGATATCCTTGTTTTATCTACTTGATAAAAAAGTGAAAGCCATCACGTTTATCATAAAGTTTTGTTGTTAGGTCGCCATGAACGTCTTTTCTAGTAAAATATCGAAATATGAAACAGATGTGTCAGACCCTGTGGTATCTTTTATTTCAAGCTCACTGGATGTATCACTCACCGTCGACATATGAATGGAAATAAGTAGTGTTAATTGACAGTAAGCCATCAATACATATATATCTACATGTCAAGTTGAAAACCCAAACAAGTATATAAATATCGAGAGACTTCTATTAACTTTTTTTTTCAAAAATAGCAATATAATGCTTATGTCCATCATATTAATGTACAATCAGCATCATGTATAATGCATAGTTGATTCAAGAGGTTCCACTTCCCCTCGAGATTTGTGCGTGCACAAGTTCCTGGATGCTCGAAGTTAGTTTCAAAAAGACTATACGTAAATTTACCCATAATTCAATATCTCATCATTTTAGGGCCTCCTGTTCGATTTAGTGAATTCCCGAGACATGCTCCGACAGCGCCACCTACGCTAGGGGAACATACAGATCACGTGATGAGGGACTTATTACAACTAGGTGAAGATGAAATAGAGCAACTTAGAAAAGAAGGTGTTATACAATGAGGATTTTTTTTATATTTTTTTTAAAAATTGGATTGTTGAAATAAAATAAGATACTAAAAAGGCAAAATCTTTTACCTATAGTCGTGTATGTTATATGTTTTATTACAATACGGTTAATATCTTGCACCTAAAATTATTCCAGCGATGTTTTCAATTAAATACTATTCTTCATACATGTTTCTATAAATACATCCAAAAAAATCGAATAGTAATAATTTAATATAAGAAAAGTTGCATGTACTCAGTGAAATGATGGACAAACTTTGAGCAATCAAGTATCCCCAAGATATATTGTTTGTCATATTCTCCCGTTGTGTACCCACGTTCTTTAATTAAGCAAAATAAACCTAACCGAAATTTCATAGACTTTTATGAAGATAAAAATATTTATTCCATTTAGTAATAATCTTATACGTGAATATTCCTTCAAAAGAGTATATGAAGATTAAGGATATGAAAAATAACTGTAATGAAAATTTATAAATTTATGTAGAACAAAAAATTAAAAAAGCGATATATATTCGTTAACTCCACTAAATCGTTCTTTTTAAATTTTACATGTAAATGTTATGAACAAGATCGACTTTATTTTTTCGTGATAACAGTTTTGTATTGTTTTGTAAAATAAGGATCATTCTTTTTCTCATCTCCGAAAATAAAATGCTTCTCCATTTGTGGGGAGTACTTCAGAGCCGGAGCTGACTTTCCATACACTGCTGCTACCTCCCGGAGAAAGTGGGGGGCGTTCCCACAGCACAATCCAACATACTGGACACCTAAGGCCTTGCTCTGTTCCGCGAACGTCCGAATTTCCTCGCGAGTACAATAACAAGAAGAAAGATCCAGAGGAAATGCCATTTTCTCTACAAATCAGAAAAGAAAGCTTTTTCTAGGACAGGAAGACACTACCTTTTTCTCTATGTTTCTATCTAGTGTTGGAATATGTTCAAAAGCTTGTAGATTTTACTTTAATCCTTCAAAATATTGCAGATACACAACACTATACATTTTGTACAATACACATGTATAATATTAAATATTTTTTAACTATTGTACATGTGTATATTGAATATTTAAAAGATATATTTTCTCGGTTCACCTGTTCCTGGCACTGTCAAAGAGAAAAACGTCACTTGATCCTGATTGGTTCTGTAAGGAACAGGTAACGCTGCAACTGGTCCCTGCAAATAAGGGAAATACTAACATATGAATAATTCAATCATAAATCTTTGATAATTTAGACAGGCTTGACCAAGGGGATACTAAACAGAATAAACTTACTTCAGAAATATTAAACTTCTGAATTAGAAGAAGACTATACTCGTTTGTATGTAATGGATGCTACATGTAGTCAGCCAATATATCATGTAAGTGAATGATTAATTGAAAATAGTATCCGGAGATATAAATAACATTCTTACTTTACAAGCCTTTTGAATAAGTGTCAGCGGCTCAATTATTGTTTCTGGACCCCGCCCACAATTCAAACCCACTACGTCAGCCCCAGCTTCCTCCAATCGTCTGCAGGCTTCGTCCACAGGTATCCCATCAATCATCACTGTCGTCATAGGGACCGACAACGTTATCACAGAAGGTAATCCTGCAAAATCAAACAGTTCAAAATCTGTCGACTTGTTCCCTTTTCATAATGTTAAAATCAACAGTTAGTTCTAAAAGAAAACAGCAATTTAGAAATGAGTGAGGATAATAAATCATCCCTTCTTAATAAAATTGTCAGATATTGTAATGGTCAAAAGTTAAGGTGTGACGTAAGTAGAGACACAGACTGTAAAATACAGACACAATATTAGTCGGATTGAAATCAGATCCTTTGATCCGTTCCTATAGATCGCTATACACAAGCGGATCAAAGAAAATTATTTTAATCAGATTGATAGTCAATAACATCAACTTAATTTCCCTAAAATTAATTGCAGAAGTTTCAGAAAGAGGCCTTTTGTACCAACCTCCTTCAATCAGTAGAGAACATGCCGTAATAAAGTCTTCACATAAAAGTGTGCAGTCTTTCACATAATGTACTTGAAAATTGATACATTTACTAATGTCTCGAGTGTAATCGACTGCACACGGTCACCAAAAAGATTAACATCTGTACCTTTTCCATGTTGTTTGATGCATTCCAAAGCAAGCATAGCCTCTCCAAATTCACCAAATGTCTCAGCAACGATAAAATCTGCATGTCCTTCCACCGCCCATTCTATTTGTTCCTGCACAAAAAGGTTTTAAAATTGAATGTAAAGGTATAATAAGCGAATGAATATTGTGATGGAAAAATAATCTAGGTATCCAAACAGTTACTTTACGAGGGATTAGGAAAGAAATGTGGACTGGCGCGCTGGTTTGAATCTCGACCTAATTCAGTTTAATAATTCGGTCAGTTTGGCACCTAATTTAAATGTTTAAAATGATTCTAGACCGTGATACAATAAAATGAAAACGGTTTTGGGCGTTACCGCTTTCCTAATTTAGAGAATTTATACTTACCTTCCTTTGATCGCGAACATAAAATATTGATGTAAAGCCTAGATGGAAGTGTGTTAAGCGGGTTTCAGTACTTTTAGTACTTTTTGAACATTTTTCTACTTGAAATACTCAGTGTTGTTTCTCTTACCTTAAACATATCTCTTGTATCCTGTATTGCCTGTTCGTCTCCTTTTTTGTAAATGGTGGAGTTACAGATGTTTCCTGCCATCAATGTACCTGTGTTGTCTGCAACTTCCCGCGCTATTTGTAAAGCCTTCATATTCATAGCTTTTAAGTCCGACTCTCTATTAACCAGCTTTAGTTTTTGACGATGGGCGTAATACTGCAAAGAATCAAAATTATTTTTTGGTCTTCTTTGTAATTGATTATTTTTTTATGAATCAAAAAGTCATTGAAGGGCCTTTCTCTGTCTTTGATTATAAGAGCCAAACACATGGACTTGTATCGGTTTTAAATGATCGAGCCAAGTACAAGGTCTAAATGCAGCCTTCCAATTACATGTACTAGTAAGTGTTTCGAGACATTCCAACAAGAGTCAAATATTTCCGAATGCATATAAAAAGAATATATTGTTAAAATATTACTAGGATTATTTTGCATCCTAAGAACAGGTTCGAATCTTTCCAATGCCATGAGAATGAAACTAAGACCAGATTAAAAAATTGGAACATGATGTGTTAGGATATATAAAAGTAACCATGACCTCTGTTTAGGTCAACTGTATTGACATACAGTGATCGTCCAAATTCAAAATGGCTGTCCTATAATTATCGAGACTTCGGAAAAATAAAACACAGAAATAAAATTTCAAAATATTGTATGTGTATATTTTTCCTAAATAAAGGAAGTACATACAAACACACATGTTATATTTGGACTGAAGGAACAAGGCTTATTTAACAAAGACTTATCTTGGCCATAATGGAAAAAGAAATACCGTAAAAGCGAGAACAACATCGCTGCCAGCATGAACATATTCTTCGTGTAAGGATTTGACGAGCTCTGGATGATCGAGCACGACTTCCGGTACAAAACTTCCGGATTTCAAATAACCACGTCTTTCAAATTCAAATATGTATCCTTCTGCTACAACGAGGCTCTCACCATCCTTCAACCTCTCCCGTAAACCTGTTGAAAATAAAACAGCATGAGAGAATGTTCTCTGTTTAAAATATTGCAGATCGATAATTTGTGACAGCTTAATGTATTTTTTTTCTTTTTTATGTTTTATTTTATCTTGTGACTTATATGTTAGACGGTGCAACTGTTAATGAGGGTGAAGCCATCAAGAGAACATTACTACATTATATTTTTAAATTATAAATCTGGAATAAAATCAAATTGTAAGTGAGTGTCAGAAAATCATAATTTACTAAGAAATGTCTTTTTAAAAATCCCTTCTTTGACCTCAAATAATTTTGACTCAAATAATGGTTTAATAAATCCGAGAAACGTACTAAGACAATTCATCATGAGACGATGGGTTTGCCTAGCCAGCCTTGGAGCATTAAGAATCCAAGAGCATAGCGGGGAAAGAGAGAGGGCATGTACTTGACCAGTTAAGGATTAAACGTACAGACCCAGAGGCCCAAGAACTAAAACTTAAACTCATTCACCAATTTATCCGTCCAACAATAACAGTACATGGTCATGACATAAACAGATACAAGTAAGTATTGTCAGGAACTAGATCAGAAGATGAAATCGGGACCCATACTACAGATATGTGATCTTTTTTCTGGAAGAAACTAATCATCTGATCAACACTGGGCTGTGTATCATGAAGGCTGAAAGCATCACAAATTTTCTGAGAAAAAATGGCAATGCTTGCATGTATGATCGGGGACATATAGGTCCCTTTTATTGACTTATAAATGATACATATTTTTCTCTCTTTTTTTACATTAATTGGTTAACAATTGATTATTTTCTTATTTTCATGGAAAATGAATATCCCACACCTTTTTTTGGTTACACTAATTACTGCAACATTGAAGTCATATATCTTTGTGTATATTTACATGCAATTTACTGTTACATATAGACTGAACAACTACCTCCCTGTCCATCATACATTCCTATCCCTGATTTTTCCTGATTTTGGACTTTATTTTATTAAAAATAATTGTATATTATATTTTTAAGGTATGCCTTTACTCAGATGACTAAAAATTCCACTGAGAAGAACAAAAAACCACCTATTGCACATTGTACACCTGTAATTCTTGTGTCAAATTTCAATTTCAAATAACTAGGTCAATGACTTACTTTTCATGCTAGTGGCCCCTGAGTATTTCTCGGGAAATACCTCGATTTTTCACTTTATGACCAATTTTTTCTTCACTCACAAAATATTACAAGCAACAAAACTCTATAAATAGTGAAATATTATAGTAATGGAACAGTGTTGCTTCTTATAAAGAAACGATTAGAGTTCTGGCCATAAACTTGATAATTATTACAGTCCGAATTTCCTTTGTCATATTTATATTTTTTCCCCATCTTTAATCGAATATTCAAAAAATCTGACTGATAAGAACTCTTAATTATTTATAGCCTTATAATACCTTTTTTGCCGTAATTCTCATGGTATTAAAATTATATGGGGTCAATGATCAAATTATTGAGATATGTTGCCTGGAATGGTTTTTGTTCATATTTTTGAATTTCTTTATTTAATAGCATTCAATTATTTGAAATAATTTATGAGCTTTAAGACTTATAACATTTGCAAAATGATGTCTAAAAATACATGTAACCTTTACATTGTGATTAATATTGCAAAAAATAAAAGATTTTGACAAAAATGAAAATGAAAAATTTAGTTCGAATTTCCTCTGCATTACAATACACTGACTTTTTTAAATTGGTATTGAGTTAAAACTTCGTAATGTTCTCCATTTAGAACAATTTTTGATTAAACATATTATACTTTATAAAATTTCCTTCTGTTTTCTCAAACCTGTGTAAACGTCATCGTTAAGAAATACACATCGTATAAGATTTTTCTTTTGATAGTGATCTTCAAGAAACTGAAATTTGTTTCTTGAAAAATAAAAAAAGAAAAAAAAAATACAACAAAAATAAGACACAGACTTCCTCCTGCAAATATGAACAAGTACGAGGGTTGTTCGAAAAGTTCGTGGACGATGTCATTCTTCGTTATATTGCTAACGAGAAATTTAATGTAATGTAACGTCAAAATACAGCGTCAAGAATTTCTAAAAAAAAATAATAATAAAATCCCTATACATTTCATACAGTATAATTCAATGCCAACTCATTAAATCCTTTTTCTGATACTTGACATTTATTTTTAAAGAATTGCTCTCGTTGTATAATTCCTTTGTTAAGGTTTTAATTTCTTGTTATTTAACACTGTTTTCTCAGGATAAGCAACTCTGAAGCGCCTATGTCTTTCCTAGACGTTCCAACTTTTTAAAATTTTTGGTCAGATTTTCACAGTTAAACCATTTCTTCACAGATTGTCCTCATCCGATATTGAGTCTCTGTCACTCAAATACTGCTTGTACTATTTGTACACAAATGCACAACTCGCTTGTGACATATTTTCTTGATTCCTCCAACATTTTTAGAGTTTATTCGGGATTTTTCCTGAGTAAAACACAAAATTGCATCTTTATCTGCTGCTCCGAGACGTTCTAAAACTTTTTTCGTTTTCAATAAGGACTACCTATCTTCTCAAGTTGATTTCCCCTAAACAAACAAAATATAAAGCCATAATTTGGTATACGAATCGATGTAACAATTCTTAATTTGAATTTCTGGGTTGTTTTTCGTTTTTGCTCCATTTGACAGAGAATATGACTACAGACATTATTTAGTGTATTGTCTGTAACTTACTAATTTTGACCTGCTCCGCGATCCAATTTTTGCATTTTTGAAATCTGGCTAAGTTTTGAAAAAATCGTAAAATTTTGAAAAAATCTAATACAAATCATTTGGATTTATTGTTAAAACATTTCTACCAAATGAGGATAACATATATGACGTCAAATAAAAAAAAAGATATGAAAGTTGTCCACGAACTTCTCGAACAACCCTCGTAGATAATCATAAATGTACAAAAGAAAAAAGAATCCACCCCCTTCTTGAGACCCTAGCCAAATTTTGTTAAGCTTTTAAGGTAATACTTTATTTTTACCAGTGTAACTTGGTCATTTATTTAACTTTATATATTTTTTAAAAATATATATATCATAAATGTTTAAATTGTGCATTTATGTATGTTGAAATTCCTTTCAGGGCTCCAGGTTGGTAAATAAAATATCTTGTATCACTATTAATAAATAGTTATTATTGCAAATAATTTTATTTATGTGACATGTTCTGGTTTAATAATTTTATCATATAACAGTGTTTGTATTGTACCTAGTTTTATAATGAGCAGCTATAATGAATATTTTATTGAACTATTTTTACCCTTTTCCTTTACCTAAATATGGGTTCAACCAAATCAGCAAAGCTTTAATCCATCACGTGATCATTATTGATCTGTTTACCAAACGAGAAGTTAAGGTTGGTTTAACTGCTGAATTTTGCGGGGAAAAAAATGTGCAGGACCATATGCACTTGTGTTTGCTGATTTGTGCAGGACCTGCATGGTAGTGCATAATGACACATTTTTGTTTACTTTTGTAGGACCACATACGCATGTAATTTGTTTGCTGACTTGTGCAGGACCATGTGCACATGTATTTATTGAGTCTTGCAAGATCTGCATGGTACTGCATAATGACATACATTTCTGTTGACTTGTAAAGGACCATAAATACATGTAATTTGTTGACTTGTGCAGGACTGTAATATGCAAATGTTTTAGTGCCTCGTGCATGACTATATGTACTTTTTACTTTACTTTAAACATATTTTATTGAGTATAATTCAATCAGGATTGGGCAACAGGCAATGCCTATGTACACCCTCTCCTTGTATAATTGGTCAAGATACAATAGTAGGAAATAATACATGAACATGATAATCAATAAAGTTATAGTGAAAAATAAAGATTCACAATCAAGTATTATTTATCAATATTATATCTCATATGTACTTTTTTCTAAGTTGATCCAGGACCATAGGTATCCTTAAAAAAGTGTGCTTTGAATAACATGCATATTTTCAATTTGTATTCTCATGTTCTTTAGAATCACATGCACAAGTTATGCAATTTATATATAATACTTATATGAATATATATTTAAAATGTTTAAGAATGCACATTTGCTTTCTTTTTCTGGGAAATTTAATGACATACATGTAATGAGAATATACTCGTATATGCTAAAAATATTTAGACATATTCTCATGTTGGAATTTACACAGCCTGTCCTTCCCTGCTGATGTATTGCTTTTGTGCAATACCCACAGTACATTATTATGTCATTATCTCAGAATCTATCTTGCATGTTCTGATTATTCAATTGCATAGAGCATGGCAATAAATATTGATTTAGATCAGAGCCCTTGGTTTAGAAAAGAAAATTTATTTCGTGTACTGGATAGTCGTTAACAAATTAATTTTTTCAGAGTTTAACCATGCCACCAAAGTAGAAACAGACACCATCCACACTGGGTAAACACTTGCAGAAGCTATATAGGCCATATCGAAACAACAGTCGGAAATCAGATATGCCTGCACAGACAACAAAGCAGTGGACAAACAAGTGACAATTACCAAGGACATTGCCTCAACATATCAAAGTAGTGTGGCAGCAGCCACTTTAAGTTTGGATGGTATTTTGCTACATGTTTCTGGGGACTGCTCTATCCACAGGTCCACTGAGTAAGATTATATCATGATTTAATGGTTTTCTACTAAATTCAATAGTTTCTGTAATAACTATATCCTAAATTTGTAATATTGAATTTGATTTTATAGACTTCATGTCTTTGCTAAGTGCATGCGACAAACTTTTATCAATGCCTTTTAAAATGGGTTATACGAGGAACGTTCAATAATTAATGTCATCAGCTCGATGACATACAATATAGAAATCATATGCCATTAAGCTTAACTTTCTCGAATTATTGAATCTTTAATGAGTTGATAACAGTTTATGTGAACACTTTTTATCACATAGTTCATTTGTGAGAAGCTGGAAAAC